TACACAGAGCTCGGTAAGTCTGGCAATGGGAGGTAACAGATCCTCAGCTGCTAATTTGCAGCCGAAAAACAGGTGATTACATTGCTAAACATACAACCTGGCAAATTACACATCATCAGATGTAGTAGGTTTTCTCTGCAGCTGTTTTACAGTCATCATGTTTGTTAGTCTGCACCTGTAAGGCACCGAGGAAAGTCCCCATCAGCAACCCATCATCCCTCCATCCTGTTTGTTCTGCCGTTGGGATCAACTCAACACTAAATGCAACGACATGGCTCATTGATGTTTTTGTAGTCCGGCGTTGGCTGGACCGGCAATACTTTTGAAGTTGCAGTAATTTGCTCTCCTACAGAGACGTACATGAACATCTTTGTGATGCTAAGCAGAGAAGGGCGTTAACACCCGATGGATTGATCCATCATCGTCGGTTTTGTCCCGCCCATGTACGCTGAAAAACGTCTTTCATGTTTGTCTCATGGATGAAGTGGTTTGTTGGTTTTTGCCAAACGTGATACTGCTGACCTGTGGCTCTGTGCGTTACGCCTTTGAATATATCATCCTGGATCAATTCATTGTTGCTTTTGCTTAGAGTTGGGTCGATTTCAGGTTTTGCCAGTCCGGTCAGGTGTGCGAGCCAAAACCAGTTTGATTTTATGCAGACGTAGCGAAGCGGCATTTGACATTATGACATGTTGCTCAACGTGCTCATCCAACTTGTTTTGCAATAGTAAATCCAAACGTCGCCAATGTGTCGACAATTTGGCCAACAATAATCTGTAATACTCAAAGAAGTCTTTTGCTTGATATGTGAGGGTTAGCACTTCTTCACAAAGTTGGTCTCCACAATCAAATAGATTGAGCTCGGTCAGAAGCCTGAAGTGGAGATTGCAGTAATGTATAAATCAGAGTATACACAGAGTGTCAGTGTGTGTGTGTGTACACTGTGAGCTTGAGTGTGTGAAGTGTGTTTTTGATGGATGCGGTGCAGCTGCCACATTGACTTTTTCCCGCCTCTTTCTCGACTCTTGTATTCCTCGTCAAACTGTGACAGGTCCTCTGAGACGTCTGTCCTGCTGCTTTCACTCAGAATGAATCACACAAACATCAGATAGCTGGAGTACTTTCATATCGAGTCTGGCTAAAGCACATGAAGATCTGTACCATAGGCATCGTTTCTTCAGGCCTCCAGAACGAGTGGGTGGAAACATCAAACCAGTTGGCCAGTGAAATAGTAACCCACACTAAAAGTGTGTTACTTGGATATATTTCAACCAGTTCTCTGTGTGCTGTTTCATGTTTTTAAGATAAAAATCAGCCCTATGTATTCAGAGAAACAGTTTTTTAAGAGAGCCGCCAATAAAAAAAAGTCGATTTTTTTAATAAGCCAGTGAGCCTCATCTACCAACACCTCCAGCTGGGACAGTGTCCAAAACTGTGATCTGGTAAAAGAAAGAGTTTGTGATTGCTTTCACTTAAAGGCCAGAGAAAGGTTTTGTAGCATTTGTAGAGTTTTTTTTTTATTGTTCATATTGATAAATTGTCCTTTAACTACAAATATCCAACATATATTTAACATTACACGCATACACATGTGAACTTGGAGCCATTGGCAGAGGCGGGGACCTTGGTGTGCAGACCCCCGGCAAGGCAGACTGGCTCTAGGGACGTGGAATGTCACCTCTCTGGCAGCGAGGTGGATCGGTGCCAACTAGATATAGCTGGGCTCTTCTCCAGTGTGAGAGGAACTTCTGTGGTATTCATGGCTTGGCCATAACACACACCATGTTTGAGCATCTGGCAGTTCATAAGTGTACTTGGTACCAGAACACCCTAGGCCAAAGATTGGTGATTGTAGTCTTATCACCAGATCTGCCGCTTGGCTCGGCCACTCAGGTGAAGAAAGGAAGAAGAGCTGCGCCAACTGATCACCCCCTGGTGGTGATTTGGATCAAATGGCGGGGGGAGGCTGAAAGACAGACTTGGTAAACCCAAGCGTGTAGTGAAGTGTAACTGGGACTGCTGGCTGAGGCCCCTGTCCGCGAGGTCTTCAACTCCCGCCTCCATACGAATATTTTGGCCCAGGAGTCTACGGAAACAGCAGACAGGTACTGGTTGGCCAGAAGAGCTGCAGCTGGGGCGGTTGCCAAAGAATAAACCCGGAAGTGGAGAGGGATTTGGAGACTTTGGTCAGACATTTGGTGAAGAACTTTCGGTTGGCCTCAAAGAAGTTCTGGCAAACCGTTATCCCTCGTTTCCCACTTCCCCTCCATGGAATTGTTTGCACACTTATCGTTTTCTTCTTCGTGACCGAAATGGATTCGGAGTGAATAATGAGCATCTTTTCTTTTGATAATATTAACACACCGAAGTGTCTCTTTCCGTAGTGTGATCAAGCGTATTCGTATGGTAGCCTGCCGATTTGAAGTAAGATGATCAAACGGCTCAGATGTGAAAGTGCGATTAACTAGACTTGAGTTCAATAGAGAGAAGGAGAGAGAGGGAGGTGACTTTCAGTGATCAACAGAGCCAGACCGCTGCTGGAGGTGTTTTAGTGGTGAGCTTGGACCTGCTGATGAGACTGCATCGTGGGCCGTCACCAAAGGTCACCGTGGGTTAATAATGTCCCCTCGAGACAGTACATCAACTGTCCTGTAATGCCACACAAAGACACACACACACGCACATACACACATTCAACTGAATACACACTTACTCAGTCATACCCACACACCGTACATAGAGATGGTATATTGTTCTCTCAGTATCGGATGCATGCAATGGTCACGGAAATAGTGAAGATGGAAAATGATCAAAGCATTTAAATGATGAAGTATTTACAGCTTGTAGCACATGAATTCTTGGGAAATGTTGAACATGTCTAATTGTGCACGTTGGTCAGGCTGAATGCAGAATTCAGTGTTTTCAGCACAACAATGTCACCACATCATCCCCAAATGTCATGCACCACCTCACTCATTATGCCTCAGCAAACCTCCTCCTCTTTTTTTTTTTCTCTCCCTGTGTCACATCATGGGCTGCATCCTTCTCACACGCCTCATTGCTGCTGGTGTGAGTCATAACCAGAGAGCAGGAACGACAAATACTAATTGAAACAAATGCATATGGAATTTCATTTCATTCAAATAGATATGCTTATGAAATACATAAATATGGCTTTGAAATAAATAAACAAGGCGATACATACAGTATATAAATAAATTCACTTATTTCCTATTTTATATTCCTGATATGAATGTGGAATTATGAAAATAAACCCCTGAAATAAGTCCAGGTAGTCCTTTGAAAAACATCCTTTTTTTTAAATACAAAAATGAGGATCACCTGTGTTTCGTTTGTAGTGAACTGAAAAGTCAAATCTTCCCTTCTGAGGGAGCAGGTGAATCCTGGAGGGAAAGAAACCTGTGACTGTGGAAGAGATTTGCTTTCCAGCAAGACGCTGAGCCCCGGCATAAAGCCAGAGCTCTGCAGGAATCTCCTCAAAACAACACGTTGATGTCCTGGAGGGACCCAGATGTCACTCACATGGAGAGTTTGCAGCTGCATCGTCTTCTGAGCCCTTCTGAAGGGCTTAATCAGTTTTGCGGAGAACAACGGGAAAAATGACAGCGTCCAGATGTGCGAAGCTCATAGAGACCCATCCACACGGACCCATGGCTCTAATTGCTGCAAAAAGGTGCATCTAGTGAATAACTGTCTTGGGGGCGGTTGATATACTTTGTAAAGAAGCACTTTCTATGTTATATTTTTTATTAATTTAGATGACTTTGTAGTAAGCTGTTTTCACTTTGACATTAAAAGGTTCATATTTACATCACGTTTTCTACAAAGTTTCCCATCATTGTTTATCTCGATGTACCCAAATCCTGATATTAGGGGATGGTCACAGGCATGAATCTGAATTTTAATTAAAATAACATAACCCCAAATATTGTTTTAGCAACAACCCCAAATATTTTACAACTATTCCAATCATGAAATTAATTTAAAAAAAATGGAAAACAGCCATTGTCAATATTCTCCTTGAATCGTTTTGGCATGTTGTACTAATGCAATGAATGAAAAATGAATAACGTGTACATACTATTCACATAACTTGAAGTGGATTCCAAGAACACATGGGAGTACATTCTGTGCACTGTGACGCACACCAGCTCTCCCAGTACTTAACCTGTGACCGGACAGGAATGTAGATGTTGCAGCCATGAAGGGAGAGGAAATATGGATGCTAATGTTTTTAATCCCTTACTTTTAGACGTTACTCAGCTAATGGGTTGCTCTTGAATACGTGGGCTCTCTGTTTTCATCAGATTGGCCATTTTCTGTGCCGCTGATTCATTGCTCAGTCTTGTGTGTATTTGTTGACCTCAGATACTGTCGGACATGAAATCATGTTTTGTTTTTTTTTAATTTGTTGTGGGAGTTAAAATGTGATCTTTGTTCTGGATTAAGTGTCAGGTAATGGTGTTGTGCAGTGCACTGATTATCAACCACTTTTTTTCCCACCAGCAAATTAAACAAACTGTTAAAGCATCTCATTGTACAAAAGTTTAAAAAAAGCTGCTGCTGATTTACTTTCCACAAAGTGACTTCAGTGACCTGCGTCTGCCTCTCCCCCTTGTCCAAATCCAGTTTTACGGTTTAACTGCAGCTGTCCTTACATGGTGCATACGTCCATATCAATAACAATATTAAAACAGGGATGTATTTCACAAGTTGCTGTCTTTTAATGCGAGTATTTGTACACTGAGGTATTGCTACTTTTACCTCTGTAAAAGATCTCAATACTTCTTCCTAGAATGCAAATGGTGTAGCCATTTTGAGGTATTTTCTAGGAATAAACTGTTCCATACCGGCCCGTTTTTTAGATTAGGAAAATTCTCAGACTGTAAGTGGGAAACTAGGGGACCCATAAAAGGAAGGTTTGCCTGCGATCTTCTGTTCATAAAATGGACTGTAACCCCTGTTGTCTCTATCCACAGGGTGTAGGCGCTGACCCCCACATAGCCCTGGCTCATCCCCCCGAATCCAAGCTGGCCAAAGAGAAGGCAGACGAGCCGTCGTTCCAACACTTGGACTCTAACGAGATGACCATCAGGATAGGTAGAGCTGGACCTCTCTCAGGCAAGCCTCCCTTCATAGACCCACATCGACTCTTGCAAAAAATGTGCTGGATTTCAGGAAAGAAAACTGTACATTCCACATCATCAAAACAGCTGTAGCCACTGTAGTCCCTCTCAAGGCAAGGTTTTCGGCACCAGATCACACTGATGCAGATTACAAGTGCATGCAAAGGGACTGCATTGGCTACCGCTAAAATCTCACCTGGAGCTTCTCTGATGGCTTCTTTCCACTGTCCTGATTTTTTTTTTCCCCTTTTCTTCCTCGTCTGTCCATCCGTGATACTAATTGGGTGTTTCAATCTGGATAGCTCACCACTGTGTTTTCTTTTACTACACTACACCCACTCAGTCACATACGTACTGTAGTACACGTTTTGCGATGTCGAGCAACACGCTGTTTTAAAACCGGTAGGCTTCCGTTGACCCAGATTGAGTTTTCAGTCGGTAAGATTAGACACACGACTCACGTTGTGCTCTTGACACTGTGCAGCCGAGGAGCTGATGCACACATCTCACCTTCCAGCGAGTCAGAGGAAGATTATATCACGATGAGCGATTACAGGCAGGCTGCACGGGCACATCTACGTGACAGATGGGTGCAACGTGGTGGAAAATGATGGGGCAAATAAAATCAGAAAAAACTGTTTAACTGAAGAGGAAAGATAGAAAACGCTGGCGTTTGGCCGTGTTTTGTGTGTTAACACCTAGTGCTGCTTGTTTGTGGCAGATGAATTGTTTCCTCGCCTCCCTGGCAGGTGCAATTTTAATTACAAGGACATTATAATTCATCTGTTGTATTCAGTGTGTTCTTAAACTGTGTGCCTGCCGACTGTCTCTCAGTGAGCACATTAAATTTGAGCGCAACAGTGGCTCCATGCGAACACGGTTCCTTTGGTCCGGACCAAGTATTGTTTATGTCACCTGAAGGAGTTGCTGCTGCACCTCGCTGAATTATAAGCACTCATAAATATTCAGAATGCTTTATAACAATAGTCATTATAAAGCATTTTTGAATGACTTTTTGAATTGCTGGTCTTTTTTTTTTTAAAGGATCATTGTGTATTATACTTAATACTCTTTTATAATGCATTATTATCACTGTTATAATCCATTATAATGGGATTATAAATTACTGGAAGTGGTCATTGTTTGCTTCAAGAAAAAAAAAGATATCATTAAATCAATATGAAAACGCACTCGAGAACACACAAAACCTAATACCACTTTTTACTTTAAGCAAACAATGATATATTAGTTTTATAATGACATTATGATTCATTATAAAAATAATTATAATACTCTATAAAACATCTTTTGATGTATTACAACTATGGGAATTAAAATACAATATTACCCTTGTAAAAATAAAGTCAGTAAGTGACCAGCAACTATGAAGTATTATGATTCTACATCATGAAATGCTTGATAAGGATTATCGTTATCCAGAATTCTGTGTTTATAACTATAAATATACAGTGCTATAAGCAGTTTATAACGCATTATAAGTATGTATATAAAGCGTCAGAGAAAGTGTTTCCCAAATAGTTTTACTGTTAAAAATTTAACAATGGTGAAGTTTCTTTTTGTTACTGAGTCCAAAACAAAAAACTAAATAATTGACCCTTTTGGGATGTTCTCGGCGTAGCGGTCGGTGTGTCCCATCAGGGCCCCTCCTGGAGAGCATGGATGGGAAAACTGTAGCAGCAGGAACCCGCATGCAAAACTACTTTACCTTTAGCAATGTTGTCCCATAATTATGTAAAGTATATTTTGGCATGTCAAGCAGGAAAACAGGAAAGCAACAGGAAAAAGGGCAAGTGGAATTAACAGCATTAACGATGGCTCCGTTCCAATAAAGTGTTCTGAAAGCCACGCTAGTGAGCCGGCATACACAACAGCAGGGCTCTTAAACCTGCACACCTAAAGGGAATGCCGCCATCATTAATAAATACACCCGGGCGTTTCCTGCTGACATGCAGAACTGCCTGTTGTGTAAAAGTTAATTCATGCAGACACAAGTGACAGTTTGATAGCAACCTGAGCATTGCTAATGAATCAAAATAGCTGGGAGCCGGTTGATTTCTCTGCGAGACTGTGTCCGTCAACCCTCCTCTTCATTTCCGTTATTGTCACAGTGACCTGACAGTCATCCGGAGATTTTCTGGAACGAGGATTATGACATTTTTCCTTTTTAAATCTCAAGGGGAGTTTGGCAGACCGCTGATGTAAGCACTGTTGTCAGGTAGAGCCGCTCAACGTTAGATCTGAGCGAAAGCACGGTGAGAAGTCTTGAGTTGCCTTGATGTTATTTTCAGGGTTAGCAGCTGGAGGTGCTCAGCAGAAAGACAAGACAGGAAGGGAGACAGGAAGCCATGAAAACGTGTTCAAATTGAAAGAGTCTGCCCTCAGACAGAAAATGGGAATGAGAAGCAATAATCGCGAGCAGAGAGAACCGCATTGTTCGGATAAGCTACGATTACAATATTGACAAAAACCTTTGGAGAATGCTGTCTTTTCAGTGTTGTCACGCATGCATTGGCCTTGAATCCCAGCTGCCCTCTGTGTTTACAGTGATGTGAGACATTTCCTGCAGCACTGACATTCAACAGATTGAATATATATTTCACACTAGCTTCTACGGATCAGTTACAAATTCATTGCATCCCTGTGGCTTGCCCGAGGGCGTACCAAGTGAGCCGGCTATATATATATATATATACATACTGTATATAATGGGGATCACATTTTTCTGAGTCACGGCATGTTTGTGCAATTCAAACAGCACTTTGCAAGCAGGGAGTCATATTTCCTAGTGTTTGTGTAGCTCAGTCTGTTATGCAGTTTTACACGTCTGTAAAAGTATATAGAAAAAGGCTGAAGTGCCATGTTGTGAAGGACTTCTGCAATTCATACCTCCAGTAGAACAAATTGGGGCTTAGCGAGGTTCTCGCTTGGCACAAATACAGTTGAAAGCGGGACATTGTCAGTCATTCTCAAAACAATAGGTCCTTGATTTTCAACAGAGGTAGAGACCAAACCTCTATTCTAGAAGTGGACCTATCAAACAATCGCATGCGTATATACAGTATACTGTATCTCTCATCTGTAGCCAGCTGAAGCTAACAGCGAGTTGGTTGAAAACACCGTCTCCAGCTGACTTTTTTTTTTCTGTAAATGGTTCCTGCATATGCACTTGACCTGCTACACTAGTTAGCTCAAATACCTGGACAAGTGAGAGATTACATGAATGCCGCAGGTATTTTTTCGAAACAGCATGTTTCACTCTTCAAAGGGATGACTTTCAGGATAACCGATGTGTTGGAAAAATTATACCTTGGATAGCAAGTTTGGCTGGGGTTGCTTTGTCTACCTTTTTCCATATTGGAGCAGCTGTTAGCCTATACACTCTGATATAGTAGCATCCAGGACCAGCTTCCACATAGTGGGGAGATACTAATCACACAGCGATTGTGCTATCATGAACAGGGCTTTCTAGTACCGGTAACTTAACCTTTAACCCCTAAAGTGAACATACTCTAGTATGAAATGCCCCTGGCCTTGGACGTGACCCCACGTTAATACTCCTGTAAGATGTAAGCTAGTTTGCCGGATACGCTAATATCAGCAGCTAACATTAAAGCACTGTTCAATCTGGTGGCATTTCTGGTTTTGGAATGGAACGGTGTAGATGTTCACGGTCTGTGTTAGGGGGTTGAGTTTGTTTCTTAGCAGAGGAAATGGGTAAGAGATGACGAAATGCAATACACACGGCCCAGTGTTGCCAGATGGGGAATGTTATCCCTCCCCACAGGCTTAAAATTATTATCGTATTTTAAAGGAAATTCTTGTACGCAAGTCAAAACCATGAGAACATATCGCCGTAAATGTGTAATTTTACAAAACACGTATTTAAATGACTTTTTGACATGCGTGCAAATCTACCTACATGTCTTTTTTTTTTAAAGCAAGCTGAGGTAGCTATGATGCATAGAGGAGTTATGTGTCCACAGGCCTGACGATGTTTTAAGCCTACTATCCTGCCATTTAAAGATTGAATTATAAGACAGGAGAGAAAGAGCAACAGCCGTGCTAACGACTTGGATTCATCGCCATCAAAGCGGTATACCCAGCCTGATTGGCTGGAAAGAGATCACGTGAGACTAGATCCATATTAAGCATATTATCCAGAAATTAATAAAAATGAGACTTCAAATGAGACCTCCAAACATCAGATTGACTTTGCCAGATGTCGATCTTCGTCAGGCTTCTCTCACACACTTCAATTCCCTACACCTCAGTTGCATAAGAACCCATCTTGAAAGCAATCAGACTAATATTCGTATTGACCACTGACATGAACTCACACAAATTACTCTCAATCTTTCAATGTCTTCATGTTTCTGCCTTTTAAGATGATTGGTGGTTGCTTGCTCTTTTCAATACCTGATTCATGTTGGGGTTATTTCCTCCTGTCCTTTTCAAGTGCCCTGTTGGTTTCAAAGGCTTCTCTGTAAAGCAGCAGTCACTGCTTTTTCAGCCATCACAGAAGATTAACGAGCCAAAAGTTCCATCCTTTTAGACCTCCCGATGTGTGGTATATGAATGTGGATGGTATGTATTGCCTTCTTTTCCCTTAATTTCATCTACTCAGCAGGATGTTCGTCGTTAAAACTAGAATAAAATTGCATTCTCACTGCTAAGACAGACATCTGATTTTCTGTTCTTAGAAAAGAGCTCTTAGAAAATTTAAAAAAAGGTCATCTTTTATTGACAGGTGAGTGTTGGAGCAAGCAGAAGTGTTAAAATGTAGATGGTTAAAGGGGCTCAATGCACAATGGGGAGCATTTCTATAGCCCGCCGGCTGAACAGGCCGCTCGCAGCCCATGGTGCTCGCAGCCCATGGTGCTCACAGCTCATGGTGCTCACAGCGTTGGCAAACAATGGCAACAGTGCTGACAGAGATAGCAGGGTTTACCTGGGAGGGGGGACCAGAGGGTTGGC